ATGGGTTATGAAAGGTTCATATTTTGGTTTTGGGAGTCCCCAACAAAAGGTTGACATGCATGCAAGGTCAAAAAACACTTTAATTGTCTTACAATATGCATTTATTTTTACTTTATTTGCTCAAGGCCTCCCAAACGATTCGCTCAACGATTCGCATTTTTCCAAACCCCTGCTTTGCGTGTGATTGAGCGGTCCTCTAATCTGCGGTGATTGGTCCGATGACCCAGTCTGTTGTGATTGGTCTACCGCATGCAGGGCATGTCGGAAACGGAAAGCCCATAACTCCAGGTAATAACAACGACAAACATTCACTATTCATCGACACATTTCTAGACAATTGCGAGCGAACAGATATTTCTGTTAGCCGGTTAGACCGAGACCTACAAGCTGCATGGAGCGAACACAACACACACACACAACTAAATACGTATTTTGCATGCTACAGTACAGAGTACATGACAGCAACAGTTTTTAAAAGAATTACTCCACTTTCAGAATAAAAATTTCCTGATAATTTACTCACCCCCATGTCATCCAAGATGTTCATGTCTCTCTTTCTTCAGTCGCAAAGAATTTAAGGTTTTTGAGGAAAACATTCCAGTATTTTTCTCCATATAGTGGACTTCAGTGGTGCTCAACGGATTGAAGGTTAAAAATGCAGTTTCAATGCAGCTTCAAAGGGCTCTACACGATCCCAGCCGAGGAATAAGGGTCTTATCTAGCAAAACGATTGGTCATTTTCTTAAAAAAAAAACAACAACTAATATTTATACACTTTTTAACCACAAATGCTCGTCTCTGTGAGGCGCATGCGTACTCTGTCTGTGTACAACGGTTCAAGACAGGGCATGTCTAAATACTCCCAACACTTTTCTCCTCCAACTTCAAAATTGTCCTGCATCGTTGTTTTACCATTTTTTATTTTTATTTTTTGTAAAGGGTGTTTGACCCTCCTTGCACGTTGACTTTGTAAATACTGGAGTCGGTGCTTCTGCAGCGATGTAGGATGATTTTGAAGTTGGAGGAGAAAATTGAGTTGGGAGTTTTTCGACATACCCTAACGGATTTACCCTCACACTGCCGAGCACAGCGTCTTCTCCACAGGAATCCGCTATGGTGTTTGAGGGAGGGGAGATTCAAGATTTCCCGGGTCTGCGCGTGCAACAAGTGGGCGGGCATAAATATGCTAATTTTTCATGTTGACGTCAACTTGAAACAGCTTAAGATTCGTTTTAAAAACGACTCGTTTTCATGAGCTGTTTTACGCACTGCATGAAAGGTAATTTTCAAAAATCCATAATAGGGCACTTTAAATTCAGCTGGTCCTTATCAGTGACAAACAGAGCTTGTTAAGCTTACTCAATTAATTGATGAAGATGTTGTGCTTGAAGGTTTAATTCTTGTTTGCGGCATGCCACGGTATTTTATGATGCAGATGTATTAGAGCTCATCTGTCCTCTATAGATATCGCTGCCATTGAGCATGAATTAATAGATGTCACAAACCCCTCTGGCTCTAGATACATTTTGTTTTATAAATGGATCCAGCCTCTGTATTTTCAGATATAGTGTCGTTGTTGCTAAGTGACAGAGCAGTCTTGTACATGTGGCTGTTGCTGGCTGGATGGATTTAAGTGAAGTGTTTGGTCTCTGTACAATCCAGCACTTCCCTATGGCATTTGTTTTATAATGTGATGTGATACAGAAAACCTTTTACCGCTTTGCTTACAGTTGCCATTGATTTCAACATGAGGCGGGTGTTAAGTACCACTCACTGAATGTGATGTGCAATGTTAAGCTTTTATTTTGTTTCCCTTTCACCCCCAGTATGTGGTGATGTTCACGGACAGTTCTTCGACCTCATGAAGCTCTTTGAAGTTGGTGGTTCCCCCGACAACACGCGCTATCTCTTCCTGGGCGATTATGTAGACCGAGGATACTTCAGTGTTGAGGTGAGTGGAAGTTCTTCAACTGAAGTAATCTAGGACAAGAGGCTAACACAGAATCTGCACCTGCAGAAATCTGGTTCACTGGACACTGTAACGCCTGTTATTCACAGATTTTTATACATCCTCCATCCTTTGTGTGTGTGTTTTAGGGCTGCACGATAAATCGCATGCGATATTTAATGTGCATCTTGTCATGCACATCATATATGATCGTGGGTTTGCGCAGCTTGTCAGTGAACAACGGCTCTGTGTTGTAAATACTGCTCCATGTGAAAGCACGCATGTGATGGAGATTTACCGCTGATTACAGAACCGGCTTTACTGACAAGATACGCATTAAATATCGCATGCGATTTATCATTCAGCCTTAGTGTGTTTTTCCCCCAAATTTTTGGCTAATTTATGAATTTAGCCAATAAGGCTGCGTTTAAATTACATGGTTCAAGTGACCCAATTCTGATTTATTTTTTTTTCTTCCCTTGTGGTACAGATCAGATACGACCCATGAACATGTAAGCAGGAGTAAAACGCATCGGTTCTGATATTCTCAGATCGGTTTCAGGCCTCATTCATGTGTGAAAATAAATCGCAGGTCAACTCAGGTGGATGCTTATTTAAGGGCCCTATGATTTAGTATTTTAGGGCCCTATGATTTCCGTGATGTGGAAAACGTGGACGGAATCGTGGAATCCAGTCATTAAAAAAACGCAATTTACTGAGTAATGCGGAATATCACAAAATTTGCAAAATCAAATCAAAAGTAGGTAAATTACACTTAAATCAAAACATGATATGGACTAGTGTCTGTGAATATTAAGCTGCAAAAATACCATTTAAATCTGAATCCTGCATGTACTGCGTGTCTCTGTGTGAATGAACGTTGCAGATGCGCAGTTTCGTTTACTACACACAAACTGAAGCATGTGTGATGCTCACGGTGCTTTCAGCTTCTGCCACCTCAATATGTGAGTACATGAACACATGAATAATCTCTAGAACTGCTCTGAGAGTCACTTCATGAGCATTTTACAGTTTCATTTGAGAAAAACTATCATATCATATGGGCTACAAACAGAAACTTGACCGTCTTCTCAGCAACCCCTCAAAATAAAAGTTCAGGTTAACTTGAAGAAATTGTGACAGAAATATGTTAATGTAATGATAGTACTACTAATAAAATTATCAAAACATTATTTTTTTAAGGAATATTTACCAAAAAATATTATTTACTAGAATTTATTTAGCAGAAAAATGTACACATTTTTGGGGGGGGGGGGGGATAATAATACATAATTTTTTTATGAAATCAATTGATTGGAGGTGCCTTTGATTATTAAAATTGAATGAAACCATTAAAATGAAATCTAAAAAGTAATGGAAAACACGGAATTTGGTAAAAATTAAACTGAATTTGAGAAAAAATAAAAAAACATTTCATAGGGCCTTAAAAATGTAATTTTTGTTAAACTTTTGATAAATTGCTGTTAAATTGTGCAAGTTTCATTAGACATGCTTTTTTATTAATAAAATTTAATTTAACCATTAAAACAGAGTATAGAAAAAATTAAACTGAATCCAGAAAAATTAAAACAGAATTTGAAAAAAATAAATAAATAAAAGCTGACTTCATAGGGCCCTAGTACTCAGGGATCTGTACATGTACCAGTGGGAAACTATTATTGCGTGCATGTCTGGGCTCATTCTTACTTGGCTGAGAATCTGACATCTTCTCTGAACTATCTGTTAAGGCATTATCAATGGCTACACTGCCACATTGGCAACAGTGCATCAACTACCACACATAAGCACAAAAGAGAGGCAAAGCAGATTGTGCTATAATATCTCTAGTAAAGACAATCGTGTTTAGTCTTATAGTTTACTATGTCATCTTTTACATAGTTACCACAGCTGCTCTGATAGGACAATTATATTATGGCTTGCTTTGCCTTAATGTTGACTTAAAACACAAATGAGTATGCCTAAATAACCCTGATGAAATCAACTAAAAAAGAGCTGAGATGTAGGGCTGTTCAATTCCAAAATTTTTCGAATCAACTCTGGAATTGATTCCTCAGTGGTGGTGTTGTTGTTTTTTTAAAGGCTAAGTCATGGAGTTTGTAAGACAAGTGTATTCTTTTTATATACGTTAGACACCAAGAAAAAATCCATGTGTTTGTATTGTATGTTTTAAATTTACATTTAGTCATTTAGCAGACACTTTTATCCAAAGCGACTTACAAATGAGGACAATGGAAGCAATCAA